CCCCCCCCCTTTTTTCCTTTTTAGTTCACGCACGCAAATACCAACGTGACTATCTGGTGGACAAAGACTACGCCGCCCTCCCAGCCTCTTTCTCTGCAACAGCACCCCAACCCCAGTGGGTAACACTAGGCCGACCGTCGGAGCTGGAAAGCGATGACGGTCCAAAAGTTGCGACAATTTGTGCACATGTCGCGGAAGATGAAGCTTTAAAAGGATTCCACATGTCGCGGACAGACACGTGCACGACGGTCGTGGTATGGGAGATTACCGCTTATCGGTGGCGCCCGCAATTGCGTCGGGCCGGTCATTCACTGGCAGATATGCGGCCCTTCAGCGTCAGTGGCACAGACACTTCGTACAAGCAAGGCGCAGCAAGGCACGTTAAGCCAGGATTTGAGGCAGTGCTCTTCTCCTCTCACAACCTGAAAAAGGTCGCCAAGGCACACAGCCCACACGTTCATTTCGCCAGTTGGGCATAGGACGTTGTATGGTGCTGTGCAATGCTTGGCAGCTTCTAAGCCTTGCATTGGGGCCTCGACTCGCGGGCAATATTTGCAGAGCCGGCCGGCCTGTGTCAACTTGTTATTAAAATAAAAGGCACGCATGTGCTGTACAGTACAGTACATTTGTCTCAGTGGCCATAGGTTTATGGAACTTATGCGTGACAACGTGATGGGCTTAGGACCGGCTGGGCAGTGGAGTGCGGTCAACATCCGATCCCATTATCAGCCAGCATATTATATGTAAGAGTGTCAATACTGTACATTCATTAGTTGGTTACGCCCGGTGGCGACTAGCCAATAGGGCTACTATCTGTTTATTTGACATTCTTGTTGGCCACCTTTTACCCGGCTGCCTGATCATCCCGATCGTGTGCAGTGTTTTGCTCTGTTGTCTTTCTTCTCTGTCGCATTTCCGTCACGCTGCGGGGTCTCGTGGGGTTGTATTAACAGCAAGCAAACTTGAAGGCTATTCTTCAAGTGTCCAGCGTCCTATCTACGGCGACTGAAGCGGTGCCTGCTCTTTCTGGCACGAGGTGTTAGGTGTGGGTTGAGTTAGTAGAGAAATCGGGTGAGAATGGCCGTGGCCCGTTCAGTCCCGCTTGTTGTCAAGCCGACCTGTGGCTAGCGCAAACCGAATTGTCGCTCGAACTGCCGTCATATTTGGTGTCCATGTTACATCATCCGACACTGACTTTCCCCCAAGGCAAAAGGAGAGGTTTCCCCTCTACGCCTCACTGCTCCGTAAGATTTCAGCACGCTGCTGTGTCCATTTTGCGCAGTGTAACAGGAAATGCTCCACCGTCTCTTTGGCGTATCCGCATGCACATTGCTGCGGTGTTGCCGTGATGTGGTGCAAATAGCCATTTAGCCTCGAAATGCCCGTCCTGAGCTGTGCTAGTACGTTTGCCTCTCTCCATGACAACTTTTCGTACAGCTGCAGTGTGTGCTTGCCGGGAAGTGCGGCGTCCACTCGCTTCGAGAACCTCCCGACATCATCCGGTATGTCCCCAACAACGCAGTGAACCGATCGGGCCAGGCCGAGCGTCGTCGATCGCATTCTCGGGGGTCTCAACGACGGATTGGTGCCTTCTCTGGTGGCAAGGCGCGCCTGTGCCTTGGCACACTGCAGGAGCGTGTTTTCGGCGCCGGTGGGTACCCACAGGACCGCTACCATGTTTCCGTTCCTCCTGAGTGCTTCGATGGAGTCATATATGCATGCAACATACTCTTGGCCGGACATACACTTGCACTCGATGATACACGAGCTAATTTTCTGGGAGCCGCTGTACTGTAATTGCAGCGTTCCTGCGGAGAATTTCGTCGAAACCACTCGTCATGCTGTCATGCGCCCATATCATTGCCACCACGCAGACTTACACAACGTCGGTAAATTGTTTAACCGCGCCGCTTTCAGGGGTCTTCAGGGGCTATATAAGGAAAAGCTTTGTGCGAAGGATAGAAGATGGCTCCTTAGAGATCAATACAGTCACCATGGCGCCCATATGCTGCTCATCACTCCTTGCCACTAACCCCACCATGAGAGGGGAGCAATCGGCGCCGGCGCGCCTGGTCGTGTTGGCGTGTCAATTGGTGTTCCCAGTATAATAGGTTCTTGTGAGATAATTGGTGTATGAAGCTGCAACTCTATCAATGGCAACCCTTCTCGACGTATTGGGGAGAACTCGGCTTGTTCTGCGGTACGCTTCGAGGGGCGTGAGGCTCGCCGGTTCCTACAGTCGAGGCAGTCAGCCGTAAGTCTTCCGTACGACATGGAAGATATTTTCTTCGAAATGAATTGATCTGCCGGTTTCGCCTGCTTGCAGTTCCGGCAAATTTTCGATGAAGGCATAGAATCAACCATGAGTATGATTGGAGCGAAGGTTTGATGTGTGTCAAGCTGGTTCTCGACGCACTCGACACAAGCCACAAGCAGGACGCACTGCCCCGGATATGGTGGATAGGGACGGGGCTCTGCAGCTCGATGCCGTTTCATGCCGCTGAAGTAGGTTGCCGATGCGTTGGCGACTTTGTATCCTGCTCGCCCTAGAGTCTCGTTCTCTAGCGCCTTTGATGACTTCTTGTGGTCTCTTTTTGGCCGTAAGGGCGGACGCGTTGCTTGCGCTGTGCCTTGCCGCGTCGGACTTGCCATTGATTCGGGCGTTGGAACAGGTTTTTGTTTTGGTGATGGTGGTGATGAATGCTCTTCCTGAGAGGTAGAGTCTTCAGCCGATGGTGTGGCTATGTACTCTTGTTCGTTCACAACGATCGTGGACCTGACTTCATCATCGTCTTGAGCAGCCTCAATAGAGCTTGTCTGTACGTCACCCACAAACATACATCATAGCACTCCTTCCCTCTTCTCCAAGTCCAACTCGGCCACAACACTACCCGTATGCCACGATACCAACCACGAGTACGGCATGACACGAATCGTCACATTCCGCAAATAGTACATGAACGTACTCTTCGGGATGTACATCTTGGCCATAGTCTTGGTCCTATCCTGAAGCCTCTCAATAATCGGCCTCAGCTGTCTCTCATGACTCCCCAACGCCTCCGCCACGTCCCCTCCCGTCTTCTTCAGTTCCAAGCCAAGCAACTCTGCCGACGCGAGCGCCATGCCCGCCCCTTGCCCCGACATCAAGGTCAAGCAGTGAGCAGCATCTCCAAGGAGTACGACCCGGCCCTTTGGACCACCGCGGCAGGGTCACCATCGTGAGGCGGTCAATGATGGGCGCAGCGCCTGATTCGGCGCCGTCATGCACCACCTTCACCACAGATGGATGACTATTGGCAGTAACGGTGCGTATGGCAGCCCATCCCACTTCCTGGCATGGTCTCTTCTTTGTCTCGTCTCTCCAGATGTGCAGCGCTGCGAGCTGGCTATCTCGTAGGCGGTATAACGCATCGAGCTGGCCCGGGTTATTATACGACACGCAGTCCGATACGAGGCTATCTTTGCTGTTGACGCTGTAAGCCGCGTACGAGTACCCCAGGTCCTCGAGACAGTTTCCCTCGCTCCAGAAGTGCTGTCTAGTGGAGGAGCGCAGTCCGTCAGCGCCAATGAGGAGGTCCGCCTCGATGACTTCGCCGGATTTCAACGTCGCTTGGACTTTATCGTCGTGTGTTTCGTATCGGTTCACTGTCTGCTGGAAACGAATGGTGGCCGCCTGAGGCAGGATATTTGCAAGGAGATGCTCCAAGTCATTGCGACAGACGGCCACGGAGTCAACGCCACAGGCGTCCTTGTAACGCAACTGGAACAACTTCCGGCCAGAACCGTCCATGACGAGGTTGGCGTCGAAGCTGTAGCGAATCTTGTCGAGATCGCCACTCGTGCTCATCTTTTGGAGGGCGGCGAGGCCTGGGCCAGCAAGACTGATGATGTAGCCACCAGAGCGGATGGCTGGTGCGCGCTCGGCGCTCGACGATGATAGAGTTCCATCCGGCCCTGTCGAGCCACCACGCTGCTGAGAGTCCTGAGATGCCGGCGCCGATTATGAGAGCCGTTGGTTTTGAAGTGGTCCTGGTGCCGCTTGGAGGAGGTTTTCTGGTTCCGAAAATGGTGGCGGTGTGTGCCTAGATGCCGATTTCCTTCATTCATGTCAACGCTAGTGGGGATGGGTGACGGAATTAACAAAATAATTGCTGGGACTCAGATTGCTGCCAGGCGATAAAGAAATCTCCACCCAACAAGCAGCGGCAAAATCGGGGTAAGGCGACTCGGAGAAAGTCAAGGTTATTCGCGTATTTCGGCAGAACGCTCGCACACCCACCGAACGCGTGTCGGGGTAGCTGTTCAGAACTTCAGACAGCAGAGACCGGTGTGCGTGGGTTCAACAAGGGAAGTGATTGGGTGAAGCGTCAATATGCTGTAACTATCTGCACGTAGCTAAGTTTCAAAGAAACAAAGCACCCTGATGGTCTGGTACGAGAGCTATCTTCCCCAGCCTAAGTACAATACCCTGATGGTCTCGTCTAACTAGCTATCGTTCCCAGTTCGCTTAACTACCCTGGTGGTCTCGTTTAAATAGCTCTCTTGTGCAGTTCGCCTACCTTCCCCGATGGTCTCTTTTGACTAGCTATCGTCCCTACTTCGCCTAATCATACACGATGATATAAGATCCATGCCGAAAGACAGTGAGATCGAGAATACTCTATGTTTATCTACTAATACAGCGCTCTAAGTACCTGCCGGAGTAATTCCTGCATGCACGCCAAGATACTACTGATCTGCGTCCATTTCCTAATCAATAGCAGGCGAAAACCTCTCGACCTCCCCACACCCGGGCGGAGGGCCGGGGGTTTGAGATTTACCGAAGCAGCGCCACTACAAGGCGGAGCGTCTAACCGTCCACGCACCCCCATCCCAGCCGGTAGAGTTCTGTGGTTCCCCAGGGTCGCGGGCAGGAGGCCTATGGCCCCTCGGCTGTCACGCGCCCATGAACCTGAGTCGTGTTGGATAGAGGCTTATCCGAGTATGCGGAAGACTTGGGGAAAGGCCGAGAGGCTGATGTACCGAATGAGTCGCGTTGGATAAAAGCTTACCGGAACACTTGGGACTGCTGGATAGAAAAGGGGTCCCTCTTTCTTCTGAGAAGGAAGAGGGCCAGAGATCAACAATTGCATCCGATCGCCTCCCGTTCTTCACTCTCTGTTTCGCCGTATTTATGCGCCTTACATCGGCACCCCAAGCCAACCTTCATCCCCCACTTCGGTTGTCCCGCAATGCAAAACGTCTTTGGCCCAGCGAGGCAACTCGAAGCAGAAGAAGGGTCTCAAGGCCAATTCATGCCCCAACATCTCTTCACCTGTACTCCAGAATGTGAAGTTTGGCGCTTGGACTATAGGAGCCGTCTTGCGTCGCTTTCCTTCGTAACGTAGACCACCATCGACCCATAGGCCTTTTCCCGGATTGTCTGCTGCTCAGCCAAGATATCTTGGCGATGCTGATGCTGTTTTCTGCGCCAAATGCCTCGGCAGCCCCTGGCAGCCCTTTCCCCTCTGCATCCAGCACCCTGCTCCTGTTCGCATTGTCCACCTTCACAGGAAATGTGTGGCTGGGGAGTTCCCATTCACTAACTTTGGGCATCTGACGGATGGCTCGCTATTGCCAGTACCCCGACCTGTACTGTACTACGGCGCGCCAAGGAAACTTGGAGTCTCATTTTCAAGACCTACAGCAGGGAGTCGTTTCGCATCAGGATGCGTCTGCGTACATACTGTAGAGTTGCGGCCCCTGTTTTACGACTACACCCCTTGGTGGCGTTATTCGTACCCGGCCATACTCACTGCGCTCCTGCACCACCGAAAGTGCATAAGCTCGGAAACAGACACGGCTCCAAAGTCGCAGCCAGTAGAAGCAGACATTGGCCCGTGTAGTATGCAATTGTCCTGTAGTCATTTTGCATTTCACAGCGGCGCTGTCATGAAGCCGGGGTGTGTTGTGTCACTGTGGAAACACTCGCCCATGTCTGTATGGACATGGAGTAAGTGGAAATTAAGCCACACCCAGACGCCGACTGTTGGGTGTCGTTGAGCGGTGTCTCTCGCTACCGTGTCCGCCAGTTCCCGACAAGCAGGCCACACCACTGAAGCGTGATCAGATGTGGCCACCCGGCCCGCGCAGACAGAAAGAAGACCTTGGATATGGGGCTGCATCCGATGAGGTGGCATCATGGCACCGGAGTGCCATGCGTAAGAAGCGGTCGTCCAACTCTTGTCATGCTGCTCGCTGCTCGCTGCTTTGGATTCGCGTATGGTACCCACCGATCGTTGGCTTCTTGTCGCGCCGTTTGCTCGCATCTCACTTCGTCCACTCCCTGACGTGGTCGATCAGTGACGTGGAACATGTAAGTGGATGCGGCGGCCGGGACCCGCTTCGACCGATGCAGACCACCAAGGGCAGGGACGTGCGCCGACCAATTCTCTCTGGGTTGTGTTGGCAGCTACGGTACATGTCGGTTTCTCGACACTGGTACGTAGCAGCAATCAGAACTTGCCGTGCAGATCATTGCGAAGTGTGGGAAACCACTTCGTCCAGTTCTTGCGTCGGGTGTGGCAGCTACAGTACATGTCAGCTTGCATGGCGACATGCAGATCATTGCGGGGTGGCGGTGGCCGCATCGTCCGCCCGGGCCATCAACATTCAGACCCGGACGAAGGTCGCCATGCAGGGCGCGAAGACGGACAAGGGTGCTGGTTCGTCCAATTCCTTCATGTGGACGCCGTCATCCGGTTCCAGACATGCCGCTCGCTGACGTGGAGCCTGTGCCGAGACGCAGTCGCAGGGGTTTGTGCCGTCTAACTGTCGACTATGGCGATGGCGGACATTGTGCAAAGCTTGACAAGCAGATCACCGTAGCACACGCGGTCTTGGCACATTCTTCGGGTGCGCGCTACGTCGCAGCTAAAGTCGATTTCCTGGCGTTGTCTGGTGGCATCTCCTGCTGCCGCGTTCGAGCTGCCGCGTTCGAGCTGCCGCGTCCGTCGCTTCCTGCCGTCCAGTCTCTGCTTGTCGTCGGCTGCTACAGCTTATGTCGCTTTCTCGACGTCGTTGCGTGGAGGTGTGTCCATTCTATGCAAGACGTTATGGGGCCACAGGGCCTGAATCTGGATGTGCAGATCTAGTTCGATAAGCTGCTGCCGCGTCCGATGGTGACCACGCGATTCCGAGGAACACGCATGTGGACGCAAGTCTAGAGTAGGGCTAGCAACGTCACAATGGCTAGCACTTAGCCGTTACTGTACGTTTCCATTACGGGATTTACGGTAGCCACACCATCTTCTTGGCCTGTCCGTTTATCCAATTACAGTTATTGCCAGGGCCGGACGAGGATATGGGGTTGTTCTGGTGTGTCCAGAAACTCGTCTAAGACGAAGTGGTGATGGAGGTAGTCGTATGTGGACATAGGCTCGCCTATGACGCCTTTGCGGCTCTTAAGATCGTAAGAGACCCAAGGCCAGAATAGCTCACGGCAACAAGCCCCCATGGGGCGAATGGATGCGATTGCCCTCGCGGCAAAATCACGCCGGGAATGACACTGAAAGGCAAAGGCAGAAACCAGCCTTCTATTTAGTGGCCAAAGGGTTACAGCTCCCCAGTGGCCATCTTGTTGACTACGTACTGCCGGGTCGGGGGTGCGGGAATAGCACCCCATGGCGGCAAAAGGTGAACTTCCGTGACCTCATCCACGCCCCCCAGAAACTCCTCCCCGCAGCCAAAGTCGGCCCTGATATTCCCATTTCTGCAAGCCACGGTGAAAGGTCACAAGCTCTCTGCGTACCTGCATCGTCCAATTCCTGATGAGTTCTGATGACGTACAGAAGAAGGTCATGCAAGGCCACAACTGACCACTCGAATCGGCGGGGGAGGGGGTGGTCATAGCGGACGCAAGTTGGCTGGAAGTCGAAAATCGCCCGTCATTTCCCAGCCACCCCCACGACAGAACCCACCATTGGACGCTACAAGCTGCGTCGGCCAGTTCCTGACGATCCTTGTCGTTTACGTAAAGATCATGCAAGGCCACTTGTGGCCGTTTGTAGGCGTGGGGTGGGCAACCGCCCCTGACACCCACGGCAAACCCCACCCCACCACCCTGGACTTCAATCTATGGCAGTCATGCTTGATGATCGCACCTTCCTTTGTCATCATACTTTCTTGGCATGCAATTGTTAAGAAAGTACCGTATTCTACACCAATTTGCCTAACATCTCACTACCAACACCGCGAGCCGCGCGCTGCGCTGGCTCTGGCAGCGGCCATGGCAACTGCCATGGGCTCGCATGCCGGCTCAGATCCCTTCGATCTGGACAATCATATCCCCCTAACTTTCGCCGACCGGGCCCGTGCTGCCCAGCTCCGAAATAGCTCCACGGTTGTGGACCGGCCGATCGGTGTCTCGCCGGCGCCCCGGCGACTGGCCCGGACGCCATCTTCGCCTTTACTCCGACTCTCTAACTCTGCTGCTACGGAAGGGGCACAGCCCGCATACGCATCGTACCGGCCTTCGTTGGAACCCATTCTGGAGCCCGTCTCCATCGTCGAAGGCGCCAACAGGGTCGCGCAAGAGCAAACGGATGCCTATAACGCCAAATTAGCAGTCTTCCATGCATTCTGCGAATCATTTGACCAGGCCGCGAAGCAATTCACGTCTGGAATTGAGCATACCTTTGCGAACCAATTCGCTACCAGTTTCCTCGACTTTTGGCGCCAGTCTCTCTCCATACTGCCGCCCGCGACGGCGCCGACTTACAGCAGCGTCGCCGCCGGGCGCAGCCCTCGCCAGCCCCTTGCGGGCCACGCCACTCCCTCAGTTGGGACCCCGCCGCCCGCACCACAACAAACAGCGGACATACGTCTCCAGGGACGACCAATTCCCGCCCCACCGAAAGAGGACCTCCGGGTCTTCGTACGACTCGACGCCGAAGCACCGGCGAGGAACTTCGAGTCGTACGCGATCCGGACCCACATCGCCGCGAAAGTCGGCATCGACCTCCACCAAATCCCGGCAGCTTTCCCCGTGAATTCGGGTTGGGCTCTTCGCACTACGGATACCGCAACGAGAGACCTCATCGTCCAGCGCCAGTCAGAATGGGCACAGGATCTCGGCGCCAATACTGTCGAGTCCAGCCGAAAATGGTACACCTACGTCGTCTCCAATTGCCCGCGGAGACTCACTGATCTTCAAGGCAATGAAGCCGACTACGACGAAGCCGTCAAGGGCGAAATTGCCTGCCAAACCGGCCAGACGGCGGTTAGCATCCGCCCTAGTCGTCACGACTCGAACGATTTACCAGTCAAGACACTCCTCGTGTCTTTCCTCAAACCCACGCAGAAACCCTGGCGGCTTTTCGGCTCCAGCAGACTCGCCCGATACATCGACAAACCAATTGCGCCTAGCCAATGCGACAAATGCTGGGACTTTCACGCCCGGCATAGCTGCGACCGCCGCCCATCCTGCAAACAATGCGGAAAGGCGCAGCACCAAGACTCAAACTGCTCTGCCCAAGCGCAGTGCTCAAATTGCCTAGGGCCACATGCCGCGGATTTTAGCGAATGCCCTGCACGACCCATCCGATCCCATGGCGTTTATCGTCGGCTGACACAAGAAGAAAGGAACCGCGTGCGAAAGATGGGAGCACAGCTATTCGCCCATCGAGCACGTCAAACTGAACAAAATGAACAAGGTGCCCAACCAGGCCCGCGATCGCCACTAGCACCGCCTCGCGTGCCCGAACAAGACCAGCTGCAAGGCACAGGCTCGGACGCGACTCACGAACAGCAAGGCAGCGCCGGACCACGGCCGCGCCCGTCTCAACAAGACGAGTGGAGTGAGCCAGAACGCCGCGAACCCGCGCCACAACCTGAGAGCGTCCACTCTGCGCTCAGCCCGGCCGGCACCATGTCCCCGCCATGCAGCAGCGTAGTGACGGACTACCAGCCCGAAAGCGACGATGAGACGCCTAGATCTCCGCTCAAGAGAAAGCGCGTCACACGTGCCAACCCAACCGCATCACTCATATGACAGGGCGCCATAGAGACAAGACCGGAAAGAAGACCATTCGCGTTTTCCAGGCCAATGTTGGCAAGATCCCGCCGGCGCATGACTGTGCCCTCGCCCTGGCGGACGCCGAACAGTACGACATCGTCCTACTGCAGGAGCCGTGGACAGAAGCCAAAGAAGGCCGCTGTCTCACCAAAACGCATCCCGCATACGACACGTTCTCCCCGGTCGACAGCTGGACCAACAACAGCACCCGCCCGAGGGTCATGACGTATGTCCGGCGTCGTCCCGGCCTAACTGCCGATCAACGGCGGCCCACGGCAACCCGTGACATCCTCTGGCTCACTATCAACAATATGACGATAGTCAACTGCTACCGACAGCCTGACTTCGACGGAGCTCTTGACATACTTCTTGCCTGGAGCCCGCCGAGCAGATGCTTGGTCGCGGGAGACTTCAATGCGAAACACTACAGCTGGCAGACCGGTCGTCTCGATGGCCGGGGCGACGACATCGCTCACTGGGCAGCAGAGAATCGTCTCAGCCTGCTCAATCCGACCGACGTGCCCACGAACCCGCATGGGAATACCATAGACCTTGCCTTCTCGAACGTTCCGTTGTCGGAGGCAGTCGTGGAGGACCATCTAGCCACTAGCTCCGACCACTTCACACTCAGCATAGCGCTTCCTGAGGTGGGCGTAGCGCCAATACCACCTGGAAAAGTCCGCGTCACGACGGAAGACGAGATCAAGCGGTTCGTAGATCTCGTCCAGTACGGGTCAGCGGACATTCCAACTCCGACTACTACTAACCACGACCTTGATGCTCTTGCATCTGCCCTGGTGCGCCTCCTCCAAGTGGCGGCGAAAGTCGCCGGTCGCCCCGTTCGAAAGCAAACCCGCAGCGCCCCATGGTGGATCGAGGAATGCCGGCTCGCCGCAGTGGAATACCGCGCGATCAGAAGAGTCTACCCCCTTGGATTTTGTCGGGACGTTCAGCTCGCCAAAAAGGACTTCCAGAAGGTTGTCCGCCAAGCTAAACGGCTATACTGGCGCAATCTCATCGACAGCTTCAACGACAGTGCTTCTGTGTTTAAAGCCGTCCGCTGGCTGAAGTCTCCAGGTGCCTTCCAACCTCCCCCCCTCGAAGTGGAGGGTGAAGTATACGAAACGCAGCTCGACAAAGCCAATGCTCTTCGTCGAGCCACGCTAGAAAGGCGAACGACGGAAGACGACATATCCGACCCGTGGGCCCCAGTCGCCGCGACTAGACCGATACCTTTCTCCCAGGATGTATCACTAGCCGAGGTGCAGGACGCGACCGTCCGTACGGGGAACACATCTCCCGGCTCTGACAACATCACGGTTAAGATGCTCACAGCGGCCTGGCATATCATTGGCGAACATGTCCGCCGTCTATACGAGGGCTGTCTCCGACTCGGTCACCATCCGCAACCGTTTAGGGAGGCGGAGGTGGTCATGATAGCGAAGCCGGGTCGACGGAATCTGTCGACACCGCGCGCCTGGCGACCAATCTCGTTGCTCTCCTGCCTAGGCAAGGGCCTCGAGAGGCTCATTGCGCGCCGTCTAGCGTGGGCGTCCATCCACTATGGTGTACTTCATCCGCAACAAGCTGGGGCCCTGCCGAAGAGGTCCGCTGTCGACCTCGTGGCTGCTCTCGTGCACGACATCGAAGAAGCGTTCGCTCGCGGGCTGGTCGCCACACTGGTGACAATGGACATTCAGGGGGCCTTTGATACCGTCCTCCGCAACAGACTGATCCTCCGTCTGCGCCAGCAAGGATGGCCTGAGCAGCTCGCACGATGGGCTGGCTCTTTCATGTCAGACCGCTCAGCGTGCGTGCGATATCAGGACATTACCACACCCAGTTCCCCACTTCAGTGTGGACTGCCGCAGGGTTCGCCCGTCTCGCCGATCCTCTTCTTGCTGTACACGGAGCCGATCTACCGCCTGGGTAATCCGAAAGGTCGATTCGGCTACGCCGACGACACTGGTATCCTGTGCGTAGGAAACTCGCTAGAGATGACGGCCGACAGGGCGTCGCGCTATGTCAGCGAGCTCGTAACATGGGGCGCCGCCAACGGAAT